ACCGTTAACCAAAACCGTTAAAAGTTCGTTACTTTTGAAAATTTCCATAACTGGTAATGCTATAGAATAAAACGCTTATATCACCGTTAAAAATACACCGATCTACCCCAAATTTACACATCTAATACAAAATGATATAGTAAATACAGTCCCCAAATCCGCGTTCCTTCCGATTTATCCCCCTTCCGCAAGAGCCTACTGAAAATTGCAAAATTTAAAATCCTTTAGCTCCCACCCTAATTAAGAAAATTATATAATTAATATACCATACGAACCAGGCTGAAGAGCTCTTTCCACGGATGTGTAAACTAAAATGGTATTCCGAGAATAACATACGAAAAAGCACACGAAACCAGGAGCCACAACTGACACAACCTTACAGCAAAGCCCCAATAGGACTTTAATAAGTTTGAAGTTTGAAGACGTGATGTTGTATAGTATGTTTTTGGCAGCCATAAATAATGAACAATCTCAGTGAATTTGTAAACATGGAAAAAACTGTCATCATTATGTAATACAATATTTTCATTTGAAAGGTTTCAGTCCAACCAATATTAAAGCTGAGCTAGATTCTACTCTGGGGGAGTCTGCTCCCTCGTTTACAATAATAAAATATTGGGTGGCAGAGTTTAAACGCCACCCAATGATGAAATGCAGCAAGATGGGTGCTGCGTTTGCTCACAATGTGACAAAAACAATGTCATGAGGATGTTTCAATCAAGTCTTTGGCAATGTTTCGCAGCAACAAAGCCGAGCTTTTGCGTTGATTCATAACCATGGATGAAACATGGGTCCATCACTTCACACCTGAGACAAAAGAACAGTCGAAACAATGGACTGAAGGGGGAAAATCAGCTCCAAAGAAGGTGAAAACAGTTCCATCTGCTGGCAAGGTCATGGCGCCAGTTTTTTGGGATGCGCCCAGGAAAAACAATCAACAGCAAGTATTATGCGAACTTATTGCAGTGCTTGAGTGATGAAATCAAGAAAAACCAGCCACATTTGGTGAAAAATAAAGTGTTGTTTCATCAAGACAATGCACCAGTTCATACATCCGTTATTGCGATGGCCAAAATAAATGAGTTAAGATTCAAATTGCTTCCTCACGCACCCTATTCGCCAGATTTAGCCCCCTTGGATTATTTTCTCTTTCCAAACTTAAAAAAATGGCTTGGTGATAAAAGATTTTCCAACAATGAAGAAGTGGAGTCTGCGGTTGACGGCTATTTTGAGAATCTCAACAGTTCTCACTATAAACAGGGTATCAAAGCTATTGTACATTGCTGGAAAAAGTATATCGGGCTAAAAGGAGACTATGTTGAAACATAAAGATATGTTTTACCAAATTTTTTGTGTCTTCTTTGTTAGGTCGGGTACTTCTGGGACTACCCTCATAAATGCCAGAATCTAAGTATTTAACAAATATTTTTTTTTGTTTTGTTATATATATTAGAACGAAAAATATAACAGATATATTACAAGTATCCTGTAAAATTTTCAAAGGTTCAAAGGACAGATAGTTTCCTATATATTATTTGTTCCTTAGCAATTCAAATCTATCTTCAGAAAAAGTATATATTAACAATAACATATATTAATAATGTTTTTCAAATATATTTTTAAAAATAAAATTTTTATTATATCTGATTAAAGTTAGTTAATCTAACCTAACCTAACCTTTTGAATGTTAGAATAAAATAAAAACAGTATTCTGATTTCAAATTCAAATTTGTTCTTCAGAGCATTTATTATTATTACTTACTATTAAAACTATAAAATTTAATAATATAGCAAAATTTCATATAAATTAATCCAAAATACCTCATTAAAATAATCTCCAACCCATTTTGCAATCATTAATGTAAGCATTAAAGGAAGACCTAATGTCAAATTTCCAGTTGATTCAATTAGAATGGCTGTCAAACTAATAGTCATTCTTACAACTCCACCAAGCATTGCAGCAGCACCAATCAGTGCAAATTTACTAAAATTAATCCAAGGCTGAAATTAAAACAAATTATTTTAAATTTATTTATTTGCTAATAAAATAAATATCTTTAATTTTCAGAAAAATTTTCCTTAATTACAATTTTCTATTTCAAATCTTATAAAAATGTAAATAAGTAAATTCTATTGTTTTTTTTATTTAGACAGAGTTGAATAAGAAAAAAACAACAATAATTTTAAGTAACTTTAATATTTTTCCCTTTGCTGTTTAATTTTTTACAATAAATGGGAAATAACAAGAAAAATTAAATATGTCTTTCTAAACTATTCTCATTAAGAACCAGATGGCTGAGTAATTAAGCTCAGCCATCTGGTCCATACTGCTCTAGAGTACTTGGAATTAAATCCAGTTGGGTTGAAAAACTCAAATATTTTTAGGGGTGGTCTTGTCCAGATATGTTTGGCTGCAGCTCATCCCATTGTGGGCTTGGCCAAACACATAATGGGTTTTCTAAAAAAAATTGCCCTCTTAGTACCCACAGGGCAAAGAATTAAAAAAACTTACTCTCATTGATTCTTGAACAAGAACAAGACAGCATGAGAATGTTTTGAAAACAAAATTTTTGAGAAATTTTTGTTTTTTTGTTAAACTTAAGAAATGAATTTGTTTACTTTTTTTATTTTGTTTAATTTACTATCTCAAACAAAGTATATTTATTTTTTTAGATTTTATACCAGAATATATCAGAAATTTGTACACAATTTGTAATTTGTTTTTTCTCAGTTTAGAGAGTATTTTTCTGCATACAGTAAATATGAAAATAATATATAAAAGCATTTTCATTTATATGGATGAAATGCAAAAAGTAAGCGCACATTCTACTTTTAATTAAAAGTTTTATAATTTACTATACCTGATTTGGAGAAATGGCAATTATTATTTTAGCAATTAAACGGCCCCAAGTAGCTCCGATCAGTAAAGTTGGAATAAATAAACCACTTGAAATACTAAGTCCATATGTCCAACATCCAAGCATATAATAAAACACAATAAAAATTGCTAATGATGATATTGACCATGTTCCTATTAAAAAAATAAATGAATATCACAGTCAATTAATACTGTAATTTATGTTCTTCAACAAAATGTGAAGTTATTCTTACATTCAAAACTAAAAATAATATTTAAAGATGTAAAAATTAAATTAATTTTATTATCATTGAAGTTTACTAAAAATTACAATATTTAATAAATTTAAGTTTTATAACTTAAACTGAAGTAATTTAAATATTTCTGAATTTATATATTATTTTAAATAAAACAATTTTGGGCCACCATTAACTATTTGTAGTTTTTGAGATAGTTTTGATTCTGTCCCTTCTTGTTGAAGACAATGACATACTTTTGGCAAACTTCCTTCCCTTTAATTGCATATACAGGTGTCCATAATATTTGTGAACAGAAAATTATATACAAGCATTCAGTCATATTTTACATTAAGAGATTTATTTACTTATTATAATTTATCTTTTAAGCATTAATTAAATTTGAAAATGAAAAGTTTGTGGTAATAAAACTCCATATGCATTTTCAAATTTCAAATTGCAATAGTGAAAACAGCTTATAAAGACTCTTGCATGGACTTCCAGACTCTTTTAGACAAGAGGTTAAGGGAATCAGGAAATGCCAATAATTTTCAATTATAATTTCTAAAAGTTCAAAAATAAGGTTTTTGCTTTTTTTATAAGTAGGGATAAGTAATTAAAAACTTGTAAATGCCAATAACAAGTAAAAATTTTAACAATCTCTGCACCTCAAATTAGTAGTGGCTTGCCCCTATACATCATACTTTTCCTTTATCAATAGTCATGCAAGTCATCTACTAACTGCACTCAGAAGAAAAGTTTTGAATTGAAATAATGTGACTTTCTGTTTGCATTGGAAGTTTGTGTATAGTTAAAAAGTGCTCCTGCTCCTAAAGTTTTCATATCCAGTCTAGTCTTTCATCTTTCTAACTCTGTTCTTGAAATTAAGGAAAGACAGATGGACGGACGACAGTGGGAATTTATAGGTCTACAATTTTTTCAATATGCAGTCTAAAGATAAAAATGACAATTGTCTATTCCAGGGGTCGGAATTAATGGCTTGCGAGCCGCATGCGGCTCTTTGCATAGATGCTTGTGGCTCTTCGAACATAAACTCCAATTTCACCTCACCTCATTTCACTGCAGCCTTATAACTTATGAATTTATGAGATAGAGCCACCGAACAAACCTCAACTCGTACATCATACTCTCTACCACTCTTTAGCTGTCCACACATGACCACACTCACATTGATCAATATGAGTCGCATGCGAATGGCAGCATTTGAAGCATATCTATATATACATAACCCATTGAACGCATGTCCGTCTGTGTAATGTTATGCCAAAATCGCCACTACAGGCGCCCGTCGTGTGTCTTATTTCACACATTTAAATTAACAGTAGAGAAGAAGGTGGTATTATGGAACCCCAATTACATTTTAGTGAATTGTAAACAAGGTATCATAACTACACCCACATTTTTTGTGCAAAAATACTGATAACTATTAAACTAAATGTTCCTAATTAGATTTTTCGCTAGTGTAACTATAAGCATGGTTTTTGAAGGCTTCTGTACAAAAAGTCAGAAAGTAGACTTAGAGAAAATCGGGTGGTAATATGGAACCTTACTGTATATTTTCAAAAAATGCTTCAATGTAGCCAAAAACAAATAGGAAAGTACAAAGAATGTTAAATAATTACAAAGTTATTTACTCCAATGTATTTTATCGAAAAAATGCTTTTATAATAGAAAAATATGACCTCCATCAACAATATATATTCCAGCAACTCTTTTTCGATATTCTCAGGAAGAACTGACTTTCTACCTAGTGTCTTTTTCACAAATTGCTCCGGACGAATGTCTGCTTGCAAAGAGAGAGTTCGGAGAAGTTGAGTTCCATATTACTGTAAAAACACCAATGGGGTCCGTATTTCACGCATCGCCATTTTGAATTAATTTGTCTGTCAAGACCAAAATTTAAAAAACGTGAACATCACACAGATTAATATGTACTCCTAATTCTTTGGAACGGAATACATGCACCAGTGAACCTACAACTACGCAATTTATATTTTAAAAATAATTAAATTCGCTTAGCATTCAAAACTTGCAAATTTTGAAAAAAACAAATTTGCTGATTAAATACGAACAACCGTTTAACTGAAGTAAAACAGGTTTTCCCCTTGCTATGGATGTCTGCCTAGTTCAGTTCAGCCACAATCCACTACAGTTCGCCTTTATTATCAGTTCGAAATGGGGTGGTTCCATAATACTTGCAGTGTTCCATAATATCACCTTTTCCTCTATAAATTATTATTATTCATTTGGCCAATAGCCAATAACAATATAAATAATTCAGTATATTTGTAATAGGAATTTATTATTGTCACGGAATGCCTGTAACGTGCACTAGGGGGCGTCTCGCTGGTGCGCGTTATATACGTGGCTCTCTGGTACTTTTGTTATATTGTTTCCATGACAATTTGGCTTTTCTCACTTGACAAACTGCCAACACCTGGTCTATTCAATAAAATAAATTAAAAACAACAAATTATATCATCACTATTCTAATTTTTGTATTAGTGCTTGTCATTAAACAAACTTTATAATATGTGCTTTACTGAATGAGAAGGAATTTTTGAAATATATTTCTCTTAAAAACATTTTCTAAAATAAAACTAAATTATTCTTATTGAAAAATTAGTTAATTTTACCTCAAACATAATTATAACATTGAAAATTAATATTTTTCACTAACCTGGTAAATTATGAAACATACTTCGTACACTTGCTTCTGGAGTCTGAAACCAAAGAGCTCCAAGAGTACTAAACTCACCATCAGGACAATGATACTGTGGAAAAAAAATTATGACTATATGAATATTTGCTGTATATCTTTAGCTTTTAATAAAAAAATTTTAGTTAAACATTTAATTTCCAATTTAAAAAATAGTATGCTACTAAAATTATTATTGTAAATCTAATATTTTATTATTATTTATTAAAAATAAATAAATTATAATACTAAAGAAATGCATAATTTACTAACTTGAATAGTATAATTTTCAATATTTTCTCCATATTCTTGACAATCATTTGAAAAATAAATCATCAAAAACCCAACCGTAGCTGACATTATGGCCACAACAGCAGATTCCAATACTCGTGAATATTTATGATGCAAATATCTAAAATAAAACTTTTCTATAAAACAGCATCTTTCATTACATAAAACTTAGAAATGCCAATAAATAAATATATTAAAGATAATGGCAGTATTTAACATTATGCACAGAAATTTACTTATAATAATAATCATTACTATTACTGATAGGAATTTTTTAAATGATTAAAATGTTTTTAATCATATCTATTTTATAAGAATGAGAATATACTAAATATTTAAAAAAGTTTAATTCTCAAAAATCTATTTTAAAAGCACTCCTCCTTAATTTATATTAAATAGTTAAAAGTATAAATTTAAAAAAATCATCTATTTAATGTTTTGGTTAAAATTATAACATTCTAAAACACTAACAAGCTTCAATAATACTCTTTTTTTTTTCAACAATGCCAAAATAATGCAAAAGAAAAATTCCATTTTTGATTTTATAAATCATTTCAGATTATAATTTCTGTCTTTCTACATCAACTATTGGAATTCTATTCAAATATATATTAGTTATATAAATATAATTGCACTAGAATGTAAGAAATTTGAATCTTATTATAATTCAAATTTCATTTTAATTTACTCTTTTACACATAATTTAATAAACTTATAATTTGTAATTATGTAAATTGAATCTCTAGCCATAAAAATGTATGTTTTATGTTCGTTTTTGTAATTGTTTTAATTTTATTTGTTTTTGTTGTGATTTTGTGGGAATATGATTTTTGGAGGAGACCAAATAGCTATTTGATGGTGCCATATGTGATGTAAACATAAAAATAAAATAAATAAATAAGTTTGTATAAATGTTATTAATAGGTACTTAAACGAACTATAAATATTAACTTTAATTCTGCTACGATATCAAAACAAGATTAAGATAGAGATTTAATGCATTAAAAGCATATTATTAATCCTGTTTGTCTATTTGTACTGTAATAAATGAAACCTAATACAGTAGAGCATCGATTATCCGAATATTGATCAACCGAAACATCAGTTAACTGAAAGTGTTCCAGTTGACAAATTTAAATTTCCGCTAGTGCTGTGGCGCTACAATATTTGGCTATGTCTTGGGCTACTCCAATATTATTTTTGTTGGTGTGTGTGTTTCAGCTGGCAGCACTGGTGTGACTATGAGAGGGTACTTAAAGATGTGCCAGGATTTGAATGAATTTCAACACAGGATAGGTTAATATATTTTTTCGTACATAATTGGTTATCTGAAAAATCGATTATCTAAACAACCGCAGTCCCGAATTGTTTCAGATAATCATTGCTCTACTGTACTAGAGTTGCTAATAAGAGCTCAATAACAGGCTTACAGAAAAATCACTGATAGACATTATGTAAAAACTTTGTAATTTCTGAAATTAGTATTTCCTGAAATTGATTTTGGATAATGTTCTCTTATGTTTATATAAATAACAGAAAATGCAATTAAGGGAGATTTCATTAATAAAAAATGTGTATATGAAAGAAATATCAAAAATATATAAAATAATCCACTTTTAAAATTGAAACCTGTATATTTTTAGAATTATATTGTGGTATTTAAAAAAATATAAACTTTTATTGAAGTAATATTAAAAAATAAAACTTACTTCATTCTGTACACAGCCAGTTTTGAATTAATGTGATTGTAGAGAGCACCTAATAATCCACCTGTTTGAAAACATTTTATTCTATAACAAATTATTTTTGATTTTAATAAATAGTAAAAATAGCATATGATTAAAATGTAAATAAATAACTTCTAAATCTACAGTTAATTAATAATCAGTAATGTAATGACTTCTTAATTTATGCATGTTTAAATTATACAAATTTTAAATAATATGCAGCAACCATATTTTAAGAAAGCACCACAAGAGATCAGCATGCTAGCTAGCTCACCATTTTCTCATTTTGTTTTGATGAAGATTGTAGAGCAGTTGTCTAATGAAAGTGCACAATTTTTACTTATTTCATAATGATGTTTCCAGTCAGGGGTAACTAAGCTAAAGCGAGAGTTACTCTCATTAGTCTATTATTGCATGTTTCAGTGATTTGCATCATACATGAGTTTAAACTGCATGAGACATTCTGAAACTTAACCATTGTGTAAAGTAAGAAGTTTCTTTATAAGAAGTGAAAATATGCTTCCATATTAGTATTTCATTACTTGTTCATAAGTTTGAAATATGGTTATTGTTTAAGATTTTTTTAATTTTTAATATAATAATCTTATTTAATGCCCTGTCAAATTTTCCTCAAAAGCAAAAAACTAAAAAATTCATGCATTAAATTTTTTCAGTAATATATATTATCACAACAAAAATGAATATATGTTTAAACTTAAAAATGTATTCTAAAACTGAACTTATATACATTGTTAATTATTATTATTATTATAAATAATTTGTAGCATACTAAAAGAAAAATTTACATACCAAGAGCACCCATAAGCATATAAATAGGTAATTCAAAAACATCATAATTAATATCCTGTAAAAAATATTTTTTTATTTTGCAATCTGTTTAATATTAACTATAAAACTTTGTTAACTTATCAATAAAATATGAAATTTATATTGTTAAGGTTATTATTATTAAATTTGATAATTATAAAGATCAATATTTTTAGCATTCTAATTTATTTAAATTATGATGATGATTTAAATAATTTAAATTAATGAATATAGTAGACTTTACTTACTGTAATCACTTTAGAATGCACTTAAACTGATAATATTAAGTGAAGTAAATAAATATGACTGTAATTAGAATCAATAAAACTAGAATTTCCTCTAATATTAAAAGGGCATGTTAAAATAATTAAAAAATAACTTGAAGATTTATTAATTATAAATATTTTTATTAATTAATATATAATTAATCCAGTATTGTTTCTCTGTTACCAACTTTAACAACAGCTAGCAAAATGCCAGCAATTTAAACTGTTGCATTATGAGTAAATTATTAAAAACAATCAATATTTAGCATTTAAAGCAGTGGTTAAGATTCATCACAATAGGTGATAACTATTGCATGCTATCAGTCTCGTGTTGAGACTGACAGTATTAAAAGATATCTTAAAAAGACCTATTAGCCCAAAGATGACTTGACAACCAAATTCTGATTACAACAATAAAAATTTTTATATACTTTAACTTGCATGTTTTAGGACTTCTTAATTTTGATTACATTAGCCATGATTACAAAAAAAGTTTACTATATTAATATAGTACACTCAGTTTGATAATCTAGAGAGGTTTAAAACACAATGCCATTTTAAAAGTTTTTATATTTGAAAATTTATTTGAAATGATTAATAGTGATGAATTAAAATGCTGGATTAAATGAGATCAATGACAAATTAATATTGGTATATTAAAATTCTGTATAATGTAAGGAACTTTACCTGTCATTTACATTTTTTGATTTCATATATTGATTGCATAATAAAGATGAAATCAAAAAGTAACAAGAATTTGAAGATTATCCCTAAACAATATTTTTTAAAACATTTTTCATATAAATACAAAAATTCATTTTATAAACAGTGATGGCAATTGTAATAAAACAAAATAAGTGTTTTGAATATTTCATAATTTCATCCAATTTCTAAAACAATGGTTTGAGGATGATATGGCAAATATACATCATCATCTTAATATTAAGAAAAAGTAATTTTAAAATAAATAAATGACTTTTAATCTAATTATGTCTCATTTTAAATCTAATAAGTTTTGAACAGAATATCTATTATACCTTTTTTAGATTTGCTATTTCCCTTAGGTTGCTTTTTTCTTGCATATATACTATATAATATAATCTACATAATTCACTATTTTTTCAGATGTAAATCATGGAATAAGAATACTACAGATATAACTGTTATTGGCATATAGTAACCAAAATTTCATAAATCTAAAACTGTAATAATATATTTTCTTAGAAGCTTTAACCAATATTTAAAAATATTTTTCAATATACAGGTATCCCTCATACAATACGGTACTTCTACAACACAGTTGAAAAATTGGGGATATCTCCTGTACAACACAGTTTCCAGTTTCATTCTAACATAGTTCAAGAATTCAGGAAATTTTCCATACAAAATTTCACAATTCTTAAGTACAAACTCTGCTATTCAATATTTTTTCTTCAAGTAAGCATGCATGTTGTCTCAAATTTGTCCATGGATTTTACAATATTAAAATTTTCAATTTGTTTTATGCCTTTTGTCAGGTTTACTTTAATGAAAACTGATAGTACTAATTTTATTTCCCTGTCCTAGATTTTTAACAATGAGGTATTGTTGACATTGCTTTCAGACATTAGCATTTAAGACTGTCACCATATTTTGTTTTTATAGATTAATTAATCTTTGTATTTAGTAAAATTTATTTAAATATTTTTAGGTAAATGTTATTAATTTTTTTTAAACAGATGTAAGTAATCATTTGTAAAAGTGATGAAAAAAATATGGCAGTATCTCGATACTCTAGCTGTTCCCAACTCAAACAATTCAAACACATATTCTGGAGAAAAATCACTCGGTACCTGACTGAACAAATGAGGGGCCTGTAGAACAAAATTTCAATTATTTTTACTAAGCCAAACAATTGTTGTAATTAATTGGACTATTAATATGCTATAATTAATAATTAGAAACTAAGTAATTTGGTACTAGAGGTACCATCTCTTATCTAAATTAATAATTATAATAATTTAATAATTTATTAAATAATTTAGAACATTCTAGAAGAAAAGAACTAGCCCGGAATGGGACATGAACCTGCAACCTCTGCATATCGTGCAGTGCACCTGCCAGTTACACAATCTGGACCCCGAGCAAGTCTTCGCTTCCAGATATATTTAAATTTAGATATAATTATTCATGGTTACTTACACCACTGGCTGGGGCAACTCCTTCTCCCACAGCCTATGTATTCCTCCATTATGGCACTCAACTGGCTAATGCTTTACCCGGCATGTTATACGTGTGTGTGTTTAATTATAGCATATTAATAACCTGATTAATTACAGCAATCATTTGGCTTAGTATCTATAAATCGGGTTTTGGTAAGTTGATGTATAAACTTACCAAAAATGTATTATTATGAAAATAAAATGAAGATGTTGCTGATATTTCTGATCAAGATAAACAAAAAAGCTCAGATGATGATAATACTTTGTAAAAAGAAAACACCCTTGTTAAATTAAACTTAATATTAATGAGTAATACAGTACTTTTAATTGTGATTTTCAGTTAATTATTGATTGGAAATATATTACTGATTGATTTTATAAACATATTCCTCTTAGTAATGAGAAAGAATAGTATGTTTTTACTAAGTTTTGGAAGCTAACCCTATGTTTTGTAATAGTCCTTTATTTCATATAGCATGGATTCGCATAACACTGCACTTTTTTAGAATGTAACTACTATATTATACGAGGGATACCTGTACTCTAAATCTTTTATCTTTTACACCTGTGATTTATTAAAGTTTACATGTAGTCTTCAAAATAATACATCTCACAACTATATTTCTCTTGAATTTTGATTATGTGAGTTTTAGAATATTTATTTTTATCAATTATTTCATACTAAAGCAAATTTTATATAATCTATTTTTATATTTTTATTATATCTTATGATATATATATATATGATATAT